AAAAATATCGGTGAAGACTGCAGTCAAATTGTTCAATTTGAGGATGACGCCAACTGCCGGTACGGTATTTACAGTATTCAAGCTGTCTGGGAACAGTTAAGCACTCGAGATTTAACAATGATAGACGGAGTTGGACCTGTACTCCTAAAATGGATATTCCGTCCTCCCATTTCTACCCGAAACCGCCTGGTGTATTTGTTGATCCATACCTCGTTCATTCATTCGTTAATTAATATTTGGCTAGCATTAAGTTAGCAGCGACAGACAATGATACTCAGAAACAAAAATAGTTGTCAGCAGAAGTAACCAGAAGAAGTCTCATCTGGCTTGCAAAACAAAAGAATCCCGCAAGCTAGATTACAGATGGAACATATACTGCAAACATATTTATATTAGTAAATACTATAAAACGAGTTGCAGTATTATTTTGGGCAATCAGCCAAGTTCAATAAGTAAATCAGCTTGTTAGGTCAAATATTTAGTTTTTTAAAGTAAGGTGAAAGTCTTAACAACGTCAGCAAGCGCCCGCACATATCTTTTCTACTTTTATTTGATCTGTTTATTTATCCAAACTAAGTAAAAATAGACAGAATTGATGCATATAAACCTGATATTATTTTTAACAATCTTGTGACAGACTTTCACGCAAGATTACACTAGAAGATGATTATAATAAATGTTATAATTATGCTAAATAAAAGTGTAAGCAAAAAAATTACAACCCCTCTTCTGGATTGAATTTTACAAAAATAACATATAGGAAGTACTGAGTTACTTCCTGAAAAATTAGGAGCCGCTATCGACAGGATTTCTCAGGTAATTTACGAAAGAGACGTCCCATCAGTACGGTTGTGCTTTATGTTAATTCATTCTTTCGACCAGAGTAAGAATTTAGAGTGTTTAAGGTTTCAGTTGAGTTGAGAAAAGGTCTCACCAGTAGAAATTAACAGCTATTATGGATGAACAAAAGGTTCTAGTCACTATACTTCAATATAAAATCTTTAACGTTAATAAGAAAATGAAGTCTGAGTGTATCAACTTTGGTTTTAATAGAGCAATTAAGAGAATAACCTGTTCAATTTTTTTTCAATGAAAAGTCTGAAAACTTTAAATATGGACGTGTCCTTTTTTAACACAATAGGAAGTCACCTGACCAATAAAAATTTCTTTTAAAGCAAATTTTTTGGACATTGCGACGTTGAAACTGCGTTATCCATATAAAAGAATAGCGACAGATTTGTAGATCATAGTGGGACACTTACACATCGGTACATTATATCTGAACAATTAGTAAAGGACTGACACGGCAAGATGACAAAATGCACACTACATCCAGAATTTATATAACGACCTAATGGATTGAATTAATCTAATCTGTAATAATTTGCGGTGACATGATTATAGTTCCGTCGTAAATAAGGTAATTAAATCTATTACGGGAAATGCTCATAATAGCTATCCATTATACAAATAAAATGAATGTTTCGACTTCTTCCTGTGGTACTGTTGTTAAGCATTTGCCTTTATTTGCAAATATTTCAATGAAGTAAAATCATAAAGCTCGAAACCTCTCTAATAGACAAGTAAACATCTTTGTGTGATTAAAGTGGACATGCAGCACAGCTATTTGCTATATCTAATTAATAACTATTAAAATGCTTACCTCCATCCTATCGACAACAATACAATAAAATCGCGATGTCCAAAACAGCTTCGTTTGTCTTTTACGTATGGCCCGAGGGCATCTACGTTGAAAACCACTGCGCCGGAGATACCTTAGAATCCCAAACAGCTTTGGTAATCCGGCAGCTTAAACACAGGGCTGAGAAATAAGGGAAAATGCAAGGAAAGTCATTTTTAATCATTTGGAAGTCGGTGGCTCCCGGGGACGGAAGGACCACTCACCACCAAAACGGGACTTCCTGTATATGGCTCACTTGACCGCTCTTGAGACGCACGTTTACTCCGGGCTATTGATATTACCAACTATGGTGCCGTTACGAACGGCTACGAGAGGAACACATCATCATAAATTCGTCATTTCAATTTGTCACAATAGTACAATAGGGTTCCATAGGTAGCGCAACTAAACTGATTTAAATTCAAGCATTAAAGTGCTATCACAATTGTTCCTGCATACAAGGTTGAAACTGTTCGTTAACATTTTGTACATAAAAAGCAACGAGGAACACTCTTCAAATAACATTACATAACCACAATTAATAAAGAACTGGTCCTTGAAAAGTTACTATGAATAAACTCTAATTCACATAAAACTTATGTAAAATAATTCAGGCGGACCTTTTGGTTTTGTCTGGTCACCAAAGTAGCTTTCGCTTTAGCCCACAACTTCCCTGCGTAATTATCTACGTATTTGCACTATCGTACCTTTTCTATCCCGATTTATACATCACTTCGACACTTCTCTAGTTCGAACAATGGTGGCTTCAAATTAGTAAAAAAATAATATTCGTGTTAGCCTTTATTTAATACATCCAATATTATACTATTGGTTAGAAATGAATAAAGAACTCAGGAATATTAGACTGGCGTCTGTCTTCACAGCGCTAAATTGGCGAAAGCAAAACCATGAGTAAACCTAGTTAAGTTTAGGGAAAGCTTTTGCAAGAGCGGACCAAATCTCAAGAAACCGCGGAGACTTTAAGGATCAGCTTCTGCTTTGTGCTTCATTTATTTTTTAATGGATAGCTTTATTTGCAAATAAGGTTTCCATAATATGCCGTTATTGTTTTGATTTTTTTATTTAGCAAATTCTGCTCCACTTCAACTCTGCCTAATTCGCATAATTGTTCTAGATTTGTGTTCCGGGGCACTATAAATGCCAGATTTGGTGACAAAGCCTGATAAACGCGAAAGATTTCTCTAAATTTAACACACATATCGTCAAGTTTAAATGTGCCCTTGTTTTTATATTCCGGACCTCCCCAAGGCGGACTCATGAAAATTGCATCGGGTGCTACTCGCGGTACGAAGTGTTCCATATTTGCAACAACAAACTCAACCTTTCGATCGACCCCATACACTTTTGCGTTATTTTTAGCCATTGCGATCCTATTTACGTCAATATCAACAGCAAGTACAATTGGTGAGCGCACGGCTAACTGAATTGTGTTACCTCCAACGCCACAAAATCCATCCATGGTCAGCATACTTTTCCTCCTGCCACGAGGACACAATCTGTTTGCTATGTGTTCCGCAATCTTCTCTGGCGTAACGCTAAACCATCCCTCGTAATCCATTTGGATGCCATCATCAAATTTACGAAATAATCGATAACGTTGGCCCCAATACTTGGCGATTCTAGCATCTTTCGGAGCATCCTCAAGTGCGTCAGCACTAATACCATTGGGATCCTTCTCGTGGTTATGGCTCTCCTTCTTTATTTTTTTAAGCTTATGGTTTTTAACGAAACGTTGTTGAATGCTACAAAAGCCCTCCGACATAGACACTCCAAAATCACTCAAGGATAACGGTCTTTTATTGCTTGAAGTTTTACCCTCTTCTTTTCTTGAACCCTGCACTCCGGTTTCTGAATCTCCCTGACTAATCATCGATATATTTTGCTCATCTGTACCAGATCCGATAGTACCCTGCTTGATGGGTCCCGCCTTCGAATCCATTGATATGTTTTGTTCATTTGTATCGAATCTCGCAGAACTGGTTTCTGAATTTCGCTTCTCCATGTATCCCTCATTCGATTTCGTCAACATATATTGTGCATTGGTACCTAATCCCCTAAGTTCTTCTTGAGGCACAAGTTTATTCATGAGCGCATAGTATAAGTCAGTAGCCAATTGCACCCATAGTTTTTCCCATTCTCCGGAGTAGAGGTTATAATTGTCAGTCGACGATAGCTTATTCTCATCCGTGTCCAAACCGACGCCGTCATCACGGCTTTGACCAGCCACCCCTAGTTCAGTTGTTGTAGGATGCGTCATGTACTCTCCATACCGCTGCCGCCACTCTTCTTCAACGATTTGCTGCCAATTGGTTGACCAGTATTCTTTGAACTCGTCAAATTTCAATGATCCAGGTATGGGAACTTGAGCAGCAGTAATTGCGTCAGTCAGTAGTGTGGGGCTACCGCATGCTTCATCACGTACAATCAACTCCATGCTTTCTGGACGTGATGACCTCGAGAGGCTCATACGTTCCGTTGACGAACTTAGATCCGCGAGTTCCTTATCATAGTCTTTTTCCACCATTTGGCTATCCAGTTCGGCCACGATGGCCTCGTCACTTAGCCGACTGAACGTCTTTGCATGACCAAAACTAAGAGGGAGCCCAAGTTCTAGCATGTTTTGTTGTTCAGGAGATAGAGCTACAGGAAGGTGGTCACATGTCCAATCAGGCTCACAGTCCATGTGGTATGACCGTGTTAACACAAATTCATTTGTCGACGTCTGACCTTTGAGAAGCTTGTGCCACACGTCGGTGTCGTGAATTCCACAGGCAAACCCATCGGGTGTACAACGGCCATAGTGATTTTCATGGATTTCAGAGGGCTCTTGAAAATATACACGAATCTGTTGATCTTTAATGGTAACGGAAAATGAAGTACTTGCACAATAAGTGTCTGGAATGGGACATAATTATGAACATAAAATTAGGTGCTAAATGATCCATTTTAATACACTTTTTTGGATGCCATACAACTATCCTTGAAATCTTTTCAGGAATTAGTTTTCAAATACTTAATGACTTATAGAATTTCAATGAAAAGTATAATAATTGGTGTTATTTTATTATTCATATTAGATTTAAAATTGGGATTATCGAATATTAATAAAAAAAAGTTATTGCTTTTTAGCTCACCTGCAAATTGCTCTACGGTATAGATGTTGTTGTAGATTTCTTTGAATGTTCCCTCTTTTATGATCCCCTCCTCGATGAGAGCCTCCAGCGTTTGATGAGCTTGTTTACCTGGCAAATTGAAATAAATACGAATAAATATTTAACGAAATCTTGGACCTAGTTGAAACAAAATAGACTGTTATGAAGCAGCAAAATTTCAAAATACACTTAAGAAAAAGAGTTTTTTTAATTACCATGCTATAACAGATTTCAAATGTGTTAACCCCAGTGTACAACCAAGAATTGAAATCATGCGTGACTATTTAAAATGGTGGGATTGGGTGCACCAGGCGTTTATCATAAATGAAAGCCGAAAATACAGCGTCGCAATAATGCAGCAACATTGTCGTAATACTAATAAACACGTTATTATTTATTTAATATGGCAGTATGAAACAAGTATTATAAACGTTTACATAAACAAACAGTATTGCAGTGAATGAACATGTGTAAGAAAGGTATGGGGCTGCACTCGTCAGTGCATCACCAGTCTATTTTAAGTGAAGGAAGCGATAAGGATTTAATGTAAACAGACCTGGCAACTATAATGAAAGGAGATGTTACTCCCATTAATAGCCTGAGATAGGAGGAAAAAATGAAAGCAATAGAACATGTGTTCCACTTTGCAATCTAGTGCAAAAATCGTATTTGAAAGAATGTTGGGAGACGTTTAAAAAGTGTAAACTTTTATCTGTGCATTATATTTCAGTTACGAAAAATACTATACGTATAATTTCTTTCGTATGCTGAACGAACCAGTCACTAGAGCCAGCAGAGAATTTGAGTGAGGCAAAACGAAATGACGTTTCTGTACGGCATACTCTGCTAATGTCGCAGCTTTATCTTTATGAAGACCGTCGGCGAGAGTTTTTTTTGTTTCTTTTATACATTAAGCTCTACAGTCATGATAATAATTGGTACACCAGGTGCTTTGCTTTCAAGTGCTTCGGTGTCTTTTAATTTCACGTGGAAAAAAACATAGGATTTTTTAGCTTCAGACTGTAGCGAAGGGTTGACGCCACATGCGTCCCGGTTTAAATCCGTAAGGTCATATATATGATCTAATTCAACCTTTGTACCTACGAGTTTACTAATGAACTTGGTAAGTATCAATGTAGCATTTTATTCTTCTTTATTGTAGCGTTATTTACTTATAATTACAATGAATCTAAATTACTTGTCACCTATACTTGGCAAAGATGAAACAAGATGTGGAACAGATATTAGTAAGTATTAGGAATACATACGAACACTTAGTAGTGTAAATAATGTCGTTTAGTAGTCGACTCTTTTCTGACTAGGAACAATTAACTAAACACTCAAAATAAGTTTGTCAATAGGTCACACAATTAACTGAGTAAGTTAGTCTTGGAAACTGTAAAGCTGAAAGATTTTTCAGCTTGATACTTTAATTCAGGGATTTTTGCTTAATTATTTATTTTTATTTAACATACGACGCCGTTCTACTATGCTTTGCTTATCTTCCATTGCTAACTTCAAAACAATGAAGATCACTCACCGGCACAATTGAGCACCATGAGACACATCCCCTCAGCTGCCTCTTCGATTTTTGGGAGAACGATTCGACGACTAACCAATACGCGGTCGCAACGAGCGGCTCCGCGTAATATTTCTACCATCATTACGCAAAACGCTGCAACGATTATGTGCTTAAAAACGGTGTAGTTTCCGTCAAATGAGTTCGTCGTTTTGCTCCCTCGCGAAAGTCGCGCTTTGCAAAATAGTGAGACACACTGTTCACAAACAAGCAGACGACTTTTCTGCACCTGGCCGGTCTCAGATTGTGTAAGAAACAGACATGAATCACATCGTGTATATATGTATATATATATATATATATACAAGGACGATCAGACTTGCACGTGGCCATTGATATTGTTCGCGACACGAACGTTTAATACGCTCATCATATGGTACTTAAGCTTTATCTTCGTTTATATTAAGTGTCCTAAACTAATAAACATTTTATGCCTACAGTAGAAAACTACGAGTCTACATGACAGTTAAAGAGGCTATTAATATTTATCTACTGATAACAATGGTTATATACTTTCGATAATATACCCAATTAATAATTTATTACTGACGTAAATAATCCATCATAAATATTTCAATTGTCTAAAGTCTTTCTCAGAACTCTCGAGCGCAAGTCAAAAGCAAATACGATCTGGGTAAATCCGACATAACTAACTATCGAAAAGATTAGCAGACCTAACATTTAGATTTTTAAGTGAACGAAAAGGACAAATTAGACGAACGTGTATAGAGCCATATGTTGCTGATAAAATTTTCACTTATATTAAAAGGAAACGTACCATAGATTAGTCGCAAGCACCACTACTACTGTTGTTCCAATAGATAATTAATACAAGTCCTGCCATTTACGCTAACAGAAATTAGGTAAACATCCAGATTTTAACTTGTTTGGATATTTTAACAATGTAACTTCTTTATAACAAAAATGATCACCCGCTATAGGGGCTTACATTTACAATGAACTCCAGCTTTCTCTTCGTTAACGCGCAGATTATTACGGACTTAAAAGGTTACTCATTTTTTACATGGCTCACCTTTTCAAATCCATTATTTAATTTACTAATGAGCGACTGTGATCGTTTTTAATACTAAAAAAAAATTATGCTAGCAAGCTTCTGTTTGCTAATAAAAGCAGACGGGTATTATAAAGCGGCTAATTTCAAAGACACTCGGGTGCGTTCGTCTGGGATGTTTCGTTCTCGTCTGACACCAGGCTATAGAGTAAGACCCAGACAAATATCCACGAACAAACAAATCTATGCAGCTCATTCATCAATTATTTTCAATCCTTGTTATTATTGGTGTTGTTGTGGCAATGGTTCAACGTATGGAATGCGCGAAAGCTGGTTGTCCGACTGATGCTGCTACAGTCGATTAAAATGATCAGATGGCGAACGAAGGTTCCGAGGAAGTTCTTTAAATGTATCGAATTTGATTTCTAATTACCTGATTGGCAGGGAGTTAAAACTAAGATATTATTTAATAATTGTGTGAAGCACATTGACTCGCGTGCGTATAGTAGTGAGATTGGTTTTCGTTCATTGTGTATGTAATGTGCGGGAACTGATTCCAATTACGGTGTTTTACCTCACGATGGTTCTTCTGAATTTTACTCGAACATTATCTACTCGTGAGCTGTAAGTGAAACGCGCATTTATCAAAGGCACTGATATGCGGACGATGCATTATGTGTCATAAAATAGAATTAATACCGGCGACACTCCTTCTTTATTATCTTCTTGACAGGCAATTATTGAGTTTTATTTGCCCATTAACACAAAAAGTTGTACCACGCGTTTCTTAATAAACAATAAGTGAAGTTTAAAAACCAAGAAACATCAACCCCGTGGAAGCCAGTAATGCTGATTGAATTGGAGAAGATGTAGTGAAGTATTCACTATTAAAGTTTATATTTAGAGTTAGAGGCTACGTTGATCCATACAGGTAAATATTTGGAACTGACGGAAGATTGGAAAAACTAATAACTGAATAATAGAAATCTTGTTGTGGGTACGTATAAGCATTTATTTGGGAACAATTTAATAGAAACCAATTGCTGGTTCAAATTTGAGCGTTAACAAATGATTGCTATAGTAAAAATCGTGCCATTTTATAGGTGTGTTTTAAGAAAAACTGAAATAAATCAAGCGAAAGCCACAGACCAAGAAGTAAAGGCTTGTACGCCAATGGTGCTTAGACGTGAGGTTCAGTAATTTATTGCTAATTATATATCATTAAAAAAATCGATCATTTCTGTACGTATGCATTACCCCCAGGTCTGATTTTATTTTAAGTTATTTTAAGATTGTTTTCTATGCAGATTTACAAGTTTACAGGGCTTTTATTCTGTTATTATTGATTCACCTGTCGATTTTTTAAGAGTATGTTTACGTACTCTTGGACTTGGATGGAGGTAGATTTTCGAAACACAAATACCGATAAGATAGTTATTGCCGCGCCATAAGGGGCGAACCTGCATATATTAAATTGTTTATCAGGTTTAACACAATTTGGAATGCGATAATAAAAAAGTATCGTCGTCACACATATAGCCAAGTCACAATTCTTTTGCTCATCAATGCCGTATCATTATGAATATACGTTTACTTTTAATCTACTTGAAAAAATCAGATGCTATTGTGGCCAATACCGTCTTTTACAACTACATTCCTGCACAGACTAACGACCATAAGTAGAAATGCCGAGGGCTCTTGAAGTAAAGGCTACTTACGAGAGTTAGTGCCTGCCCTTCTGTAGAGTAGACGGTCCAAAGTTCGAAATTTAAACACTTTTGTTGCGTCAATTAGAAAACTAAGGATAGTGTAGTATGTAAAAATAAGGCAAGAAGCAATTCATCTTAGGGCATAAAACACTGTATATGAAACCAAGAGAAGCACCGTTTTAGTGTGTTCAAATTTTCGATATATACATATGATATATAAGCTCCGTTCGAGCCATTGGTCCGGACCGAAAAATTCCGGCTTCGCAATTCATTTAGTCTAGTATTTAAAAAAAAAGGTTTTTGAGTTTTGCTTTTAGAATTTGTTCATGTACGCGCAAACTGCTACTACAAGAGTGAAGCAACAGAAGGCAAACGCATTGCGCTTCTCCATGGCCTTCGAGTTTTTTAAAAAAAAAAGTGTCGGGACACCTTCAGAAAAGTTAAGTAATTCGTTAACTAGGAGCCCCAGACTGGAGAAAAACAAAATCATTTTTATAAGGCAACTGATTTGTTTCTTATGATAGAATATATAAAACTATATCGTTTACTAAAACCCTTATAGATTTGATTACTTCTTAGATTAGGCGTTAGCTAAAATCAAGTAGAGTGCCCTGTTGTACATTTCAATGTGTTCTGAGAATAATGGAAGGACAAGTAACCGCATCAGTTATATAGTTATAAGCGGGAGCTATGTTTTTTTAATCTGTGCACTTTTGACTTGAGAATGTACGTGCTCTTTTTATGATGCCAATAAACGGTACCGTCGACAGAGCCTTATAGCATTTCATAAGAACGATGGTTCACAGTTGCACAATACATTCTAAAATGATTCATGTATTTGAAGTGTTTTACATTTTGTGGAGGGTAGCGATTCTGAAATTATAAAGCGCATTACAACAGAGAAACGCGGACCCTTTGAAGAACGTCAGGCAGATTGCTTATATCATAGCTGATTATAATCCGGTAAGAGCGGTTCGCTAGATAAGAACAATACAAGTTTAGGGTACTGTCATGAGTATTCAGATATTTCATAATTTCTAGCAACAGATTATGAGCTACTCTATACAAAACGCATTCATAAACAATATATATATAGTAGAAAAGTGCACGTGCACTTATATACGTTTTCAGTCTTGACACATCCCTAACAGTTGTATACAGGTGAAGGAGTGTGCAATAAAACCGTATTTTGTGAAAGTGGGATTGACGGATTGTGGAAACGCTGCTTAAAGAGTGTATTTGCCAAATTCAGCATATTGCATTATCTGAGACTACGACGATTCGTTGAAGATTTCACTGGGCTTGACTGTGATTGATGGTCCCATAGCGTCCTATAGCGTGGGTTAGCTTACGCAAAGTGATGTTTACAAGTGAAATTTCTTTATGCGTATCTCTTAACTGAGGATCAAAATCACCGCTTTCCATCATACCCTTGAATTTCGTACGACCATAAAAAGTACGACCACCGACCTGGTGCTCAGCTGCTATCATAAATAGCTAGGAGTAATTGTCCCATGAGCACGCTTTTTGTTATACTTCCGCTGAGACTGAGCCGAGTCATGCTATATTACTACTCCAATTTGCTCCAATTTTTTAAAAATTTCCAAAAACAGGAAGGGGTGCCGTCGCCGTTGTGAGTAAACTTTTCAGCTATTGGGGATATTTTTTATTGATAGAGATTGAAAAAGGAGGACGAAAGAAGCGAGTCTCACGAAATGCTGGTTACGTTCCGCGGGGGTTAATAGTAGTTCATTGCTAGTGATATGATGCAGTTGTGCGCGTTATGTGCGTAAATTATCCGTGCAATTGCCGTTTAGTATTACGCAGGTGTACAGTCAGAAACTATCGAAACAGCTTTCTAATTACTTCCACGTTCGTTCTCGCACTATTGAAACCAACATGGCCATGCAACGCGCCCCCTGCTTGAATTTCGGACGAATTCGTTTGCTGATCGGAGATTGACCCTTGTCCGGCAGCTGCTTTAAATCTTACGACAGATAAATCTATGCTATGTTTTATTGTTTACATGACTGACCTTTTACATGACGAACACGAATCGTTGGTCGAAGAAGTTTCGCCCTAAGGTTTTTCAGACAAATGGCAAATTTGTTTTGATGGTCTGGTTGACCTATATTTTTTACTTAACGCACATCGGACTTCAGTGTGGGGGCTAACATCTCTAGCAGTTGAAACCAATTGAAGAAAAAACGTTTGTTTCACTTATTAGCTGCACAAATCAGGTTTAAAACTATTCCAGTACTTATCGGTAATGCCAAGAGCGTGAGCCACTATTTTTACTTGTGACCAGTAATAGCGAATGTTGCTCTCGAGAACTGCTTTAAGCAATCATTATTGCCATAAGGATTAAAACAATGTTTTGTCATGGCCATTGAGACGCGACAACGCACCTTTTGAATTGATCGTTACACAGTTGTTGAGTGACAAAATTACTCGAATATGCGCGAAAACATATATAGGGCTCAGCTCTGAAGAGATAATATGTTATGCACCATGTACTTAGGACAGCGTGCGTAGCTATTCCAGCCACATCGGCAATATACTCGAGGAAAGCGTTCTTTGCAGCGCGCATCCAGGCCTAATCCGGACCATGTAAATTCCCAACATTAAACCAAGTGACGTATGGTGCTGATTCATATATAGAGTTCTGCATGCAAATAATGATTTTGTAACATTTGCTCTTAAAAAGATAATTTTGCGATCCAAATAAAAATATTCTTATACCATGAAAACATTTGGGAATTACTGCCCGTTTGTAAGGCTAAAATATGTCGTACTCGTATATTGGTAGATAGAAAGAAACATTCAGGTTTTAAGTATATTCAGTTGAGTACCGTGTTTGTACTGCAAAGCCACTGCTCAAATATTCAATTCAATCTTTATAATCAAATTATAAAAATGCCAAGTTCAAATGTCTAGGCGCTTTCGTGTAACACAACTGTGTGCCAGTGCGTGATACATTACACTGCCATATTGTATGTCGCCACTTTTTAAAATTATTTCTGTTTCATAATGTATCATAATGGTAATCATAATAATAATGGTAACATAACAAAGTAGAGTGCTCTATTGATATGTAAACTGATGTTAAGTTTTTGGAATTTATTTCCATTCCCTTTGTACGCATGCAATTTTTACAGCTTTTTGAAATGCTAGTATTAGATATAATAATTGTAAGTTTTCATTATCTTAGTAGAGTGATATCTAACATACCGTGGCAGACGTTTGTCTCAGATTTAAAATAGAAGATCATATTATTATTGCAAAATTGATCTGCCAACACTTCAGATTTCGACAATAATATTGATAACAAAATTAACAGTGCACGATGGATAACATCTTCATGATGATACTGAAATAATGACTTACGCATTTTAGATTCAATTAAGACTTTTTTTTTATTTATTACCTCCATTATCCAACGATATTAAGTAATGCTTAACGGCTCAAATACCAAACACGTAAAAATATACCACCAAAAAAGGTATTACCCCACTAGCGTCTACAGCAATATTCGCATAGTGCTTAAGTCGAGTCATTTTAAAAGTTCTACCCTACAGGCAAAGTTGTGTTGCTGTTTATTCTGTTCTTGTGGAAATTGCAGCAGGCTAAAGGTTTTCCGTAAAACGCATGCAGTTCGAAAAATATGCCCACTTATCTCGTTAGTAGCTAACTTGCGTAGAACCTTTATTATGAAAAATAAGCGTATAACTTAGTTATTTAAGCTGCAATACTCCAGATATTGTAGATTCTTGTCTTGGAGAATATGTGGCGGGCATAGCCATGTTTGTTAGATTACATGTACGATTTTAATATATACGAGATAATATATATATACAAAAAGATGTGACAGGCTTCAAGCTAACAATTGCCTTCCCAAGGGGAACAGACCACTCATAATTCTCTTAATCTACCATTATTAAGAAATTAGCTAAACAAAGAAAATACATTTCTTCAAAGTAACTAGAATCTTTAGTTATAGTCGCCTTTAAAAACGTGAAAGTTCATATCTGATCCTCTTTGTGCGTAAATCGCGTGAGATAAAACAATGCATTTCGTGTGATTTCGTGAACATTTCTGAAACATTATAGGATGCTTATTTCCTATTTTCTGGTCATTTTGAGATAATTAGACCCTGAATTAATGCCATGTTTCATAATGTTCAGTTTTTGAAATTTTTTTTTCTGTTCGTAGCATTTGTTTGCTTAGCGTTACAATCGAAACATTTTAAAGTAGGTGATATAACGTAAAGCAACTTAGTAGAATCGATTGCAGTTGTGTAAAGAAATGTGGGTTTAGGTTCGCACTTTTCTAGTTCTAGGATTCCTTTTTAGATATGTGTAGCTTTTGTTCTCCTGAACATAAGGACTGGTATAATTTATCTCTATGTATTCTTGTAACGATTGCCAAATTTCCTACGTTAGTTCAATAGTGCAATTTTTCTATATATAACTTTAACAAACTTCTACTGTAAGAAACCTCAGCTGTTTTCTTAATGGAACAAATAAATAATTAATTGTTATTAGTTTTGTGCTCCCTTAGTGTTCAACGTTTTACGACCTGGAATAAACATCGTACTATCATGATGTGCGCTAAGCGACAAGCGCGGATGGCGTTTGTGAAGTTGGACAACGAAAAAAATCGGCTTTCTCTTTCGTTTAAGTACGAAAGTGATTTCGTGGCAGATCGTTTGTTTACTATAAACCGTGGACAGGAAGAGCCGATAGAAACGTCTTTAACCAGGTAGGACCGTTCGACCAATGGTCAGGTAACATTTTTTCAATTTTTTAATTGTTCAGCACATTCGTGTGTTAAAAGCAGTAAGAAGAGCTACAAATAATTTGTTTATTGCAGTACGCGACGTTTAAAACAATGAGTACAGTAAAGAACCCACAAGAATTCAACATCTATTACTTTCTAAGCTTACTAAAATTCTACTTGTTGGTAATAAAACATAATGATTCGATGACTCACACTAATCTCTGGAGATGTTGGCGAAATAATTTGCTTAAACCTATTTGATTGCAGGTTGCAAATGAATATCACAGGCATCGCTATGAAGAAATTTCGCAAGCAGAAACAGAAACCACGTGCACAGGAAAATATATCAAACAGTAATGACGCTAATAAGGGTTGTTCATCTAACGAGAACACAAATAATGGGGAAGATAAATTAAAGCCTTCGATCACTATCGAAGATCTCAATGGAACGGTAATAGTATTCTTTATTTCCTATCAACCACATTAATCACTGTGAGTTTTCTAAAATTAAATGTGTTAAATGAAAGTGATAACCTTGTTTTACTCTCTTAGTTATGAAACAGCACATGCTAATTTTGTGCAATTTCACTGGACCTTTGAGAGATTTATGACAGAGAAAATTGTAGAATCCATATTGGTCCGTGTCATATCTATTAGATATACCACCTGTGATCACAGCCTGCATCGGAGGAACACTTTATATTTTATTTTTTTTTTTATAATAAAGCATACATTGGGTGTGGAGCAGACGATGGCAGTAATCTGCTCGTGCCTTTAAGGCATTAACCCGTAAGTGACCGCAAAAGACTTGACGGAGGCGCTGTGATTACTTAGTGGTGCCCGGAACCTTAATTTTCTACATATTAGTTCCCTTTAACTTTAATATAGCTTACCATATAACAGTGATATGTTTGCGTGTAAACCAAAGTATGCGAACCGGTACCAGACATACATCATTTTGTACTGAAGTCAGTCATCTAAAGTGCTAGATATCGACAACACCAGACGTAAAACTTTGAACAGTTTAAATGTAGATAAAACCAAAGCGCTGTATTATATTTATTGAAATCCTGTTGGAATAACGTAATACGAATGCTTCCATGACAGTGTAATGGAGATGTGTTTCTTCTCTAAAGTTAAATACACGTAGTGGTCTAGGTTTGAAACCGGGCATATACACTCGTCATATTGAAAGTGACGGCTAATCAATTCTTAAGCAATGCCTAACGATTTTAATCTTGGACGTGAAAGAAGCTTAAAAAAGAACAAACTAACTATCGTTGCCCGTAAACCAAGTTCAACAAAGAACAAAGTTTGGTTATCTTACTGAATGTAGAGCTTTTGTTTGTCCTATCTTGTGATTGGTACTAGATTATAGAACCGTTTATTAACAATCGGGAAGCATTCCGTACCGGACACGTTCTCAACATCGATGGTAAAAGGTTTCCGATTGTCGTTGATGCCCCTACTGTGGTACGCATAAGTCTGCCAAAAATTATGATGACAGGTTTGTAAAACACATTACTATTAAGTCCATTTCGAAAATGCATTTCGAGATACCTGAAATGCCTCGAATGAATCCTGAATCAATAATGTTTGTCTATGTAGGTAATTCCTGAGTAAAAGAATATTAATCTCATATTTAATAACCTAATAAAATATAGTAAAATATTTTTTTAAGAGGAAACCTAGAGTTAAAGACGCTTCATGGGTCACAACAAACAAAGAAAACACCATACTACAACATCTTTTTCTTTCTCGAGTTTTGCTGTATAGAAATGTTCACTAGTCTGCTATTATGAAGTCCATAATACGCGTCTTTAATGTACATAGATTTAAAGATCATGATCTAAAGATGTTAGATCTTACTTTTGATAATTGGGCAATAACTTGTTAGATTAACTGTACATACATGACTCATTCTTAGTATTACTGTTTAACGAAAGGCGGGTATCTTTTTTTCGCGCGGGAGTTCTAAATGTAAAAGTCTTTAACATAGAAATAACGGCGAGCGGCAATACATATAATAATATATTTTGATGATAATAATAACATAACAGCAGTTTTAGTAACAATAGTGATCCTTTAACAAGCGCCTTATCTCCTTTAGATTAGAGACTCGATATCTTTAAAATCTACTGACCACAACTGTAGACAAGATTTGGGTCTAGAACACTGTGATTACAAATAAAGGAGAGTAGAAAAACAATAACGTGTGTTCAAGCTATATTGTATCAGCACATTAGTTAGAGCGGATTAGTGCAATTATCTCATCGTGCAATAATGCCTGAATTAAGAAAAAATAAACTAGGCACTATCCATTTTCATGCGTGAATTATTCGTATAAATGAAACTAACTATTCGTATAGGATAAATGGAAATTAACTTCAGCCGAAGTTGCTTTTTCTTTGCATGCTAACACCGGCATACGATGGCAGGATTTCCGATTCAGGCCTATGTAACCTTAGAACACGCAAACCTTCCCGACTGCGTTTTCTCATGGTGGCGTAATTCAGTAAAAGGCGAGACATTCGCAGACTACGCAAAGGATGACATTATCAAAGACAAATCGCAGACATGGCTTAGGATTCGTGGGGAATCTTCAAGAACATACAATGCTCGACCTGAGGACGTCGGACACAAGATTATGGTACATTCAAAAATCAATTATATTTGAACCTAGTTTTTGTATTATATGTTCGTAATTATTATAACTCTATAACGTTTGCTTGAGTCAACTGAATTTAATATATTTATAAGCATTGTGATAGGTTCTAGTATCCACTAGAAGTATCGGCCTCCATGGCTTCATCATAGAAAAATTACCTTCATTTTCTCTTCTTTTTTTAATCGAAAACTGAAGTACTTCTAAATATTTTGGTTCTAAATGAAATCTCTGAACTCGTGCCAAAAGTATCAAAAATGCAAAGATGAAAAAAGCAATAAAATTAAGAAATACAGAAAAACACAAAAAAGCGGAAAAAGTCAAAAAGGCTAACGATTATTATTTTGGGCTTGCATATGACCCGAGATACTTAAAATATGGTTCTTTGTGCCTGTAATGTATGCTGATTTAATAAACTCAATTAGTTAACGGAGCACTGACAAGAATTGAAAAGGTGTTCCTTTTCGCCTACGAAATTTAGTAAACGTTTCTAAAATAAACAAAATTGTTAATATATAGGTACTGCAAAATTTTGTGCTTTGAAGAGGTAAATAGAAAGCTTTGTGAACGTAAAGTAAGTATTTCAGGAATTGGTAGATAATGGCTAACAGTACAATAAGCGTTACAAAAGTACCGTGCGAAATGTTCTAGTTGGAAGGATACAGAAGACCGATGGCCTTATCTCAAAATTTTAATAAATAGTTCTGCACCTACTATTGGCCAACGAAACTGTTGTCGATCGATCTCAGCAGCAACGTCTAATAACATCTACCAATGAAAGTTGATTACTGAACATATTAATGAAGTACAGAGATGTATCCATCGACCTAAAGATGCAACTCTGTATATAAATGAAGTGGAAAAACAAGGGTGAGCATGTGAAGATTAGGGATCTATTGCTATCTCATCTGCTTTCGGTACGATTATTAAAAAAAATATTCTGAGTTTAGTAGATCTTCTTTATTTAGATTCAGAGTAGATGTAAACCACCATTTACTCATCGTTTACTTAACCCTCGGAAAGCCTTTTATTCTGTAGTTCCTACCATACTACGGCAAGAAAATTTTAAGCATAGATTTTTCCTGACAACCCATGCAACTTTATCCACTCGTCTATTAATCAGCTGAGATCGATAGTTGAGTAGCGGCCCTCTTTCCGTCTCAGTTAAGTTTAGAATATCCACCGACTGGTCTAACTTCTTTCATGTTATTCAAGTTATATTTTTTGTACGCGGTAATACTTTGATGCTTATTTATGTTAATTTTCACAGGATGATTAGATTTTTGTGACCTAGCCAATATGTTTAATGACCACTAATTCAATTTGTATTAATTCCACTATGTTTCAGGTAATGTGGCTTGCATTTACAATGAACCTATAAATACGATTAGGGGTTTGTTATAAGTAGCATAGCAATGATGAAATTACTACAATTAAGGATTAAAGTGACTGTAGCTATTATGGGAGGAGGCTTTAAACCAGAAATCTTATCTACTTCTCTATAACTTATTTTATTTTAACATTAATATCTGTTATGGTTTGGAGTACTTTGATTTAAATTCTGATAATTCTAAAATTCAAAGAGTTTCCAATTTATTTCCTTTACCTATCCTCCCGTGTAGTAGCCTTAATCTTCTATTCCTTCTATTCACCAAACACAGGGCTTGTATTCTTGCTTGTTTAATCTTTCAAACATATCTTTTTACTCTTGTCGATATCGTAAAATCTTTGAATTATACTCGCAGTCGTTGTTTTTACCTCTTGTAGTTGGTTCTTTCTCATAAGAATATTGGCCGTATTTGTCTTGTATGGTGCTATTCCGTAAAGTAATCTTGCAACCTAAATACAGGTATTTTCAACTTTAAGTTCGCATTAAGAAAATACCTGTTGGGAGGATTTATCCAGAGCCGTTATGCGTTTTATTGATAGTTTTAACTGTGTTAATTGATTGAGATAAGTTAAAACGTTCAAGTTTGGCTCCTAATCGCTCTTATATTTCTAAAACATAAACATTTAGAAGACAAAATTTATCAATTCAGTCAATTGTCATTATGTAATCAGGTTTACGATGTTCCAATTCGTAATTTATGCTCCCAGTACATTTGACAACTGAGCAGTTACGAAGCTTCTGAGGTATAGTTTTGCAGACGGCCTAAACGAAGCTTTCCTCGTTGGCCTATGAAACGAAAAAAAGCTGAACGTGCTCGGATTAAGTGACGGTGCACGCTCTCTGTAAACCCATAACTGAGTAGATAGTAGTGATAACAGGAGCCGATAGAAAGTATAAGAAATCAATTTACTGCGAGATGAGCGAATATTCTTTAAGTTATTCTACACATATATGTGAAATGTTATCGTCGTTTCACAAAGGTCTATTGTGAACCCCGATGTGGACCGGTTGTCGGCGTTGAAGTTAGTGCAGTCTCTTCTTCAGTCGTTAATACCCCACCCGAGAGGTGCGCTTTTGAGGACCGACATCAACTTACCCCAGATATCTTACCGGACAATATGTAAGAGTCAATTTTATGAATATTTTGCCATGCACTAAGTTTTGGAGGTAATGTTTTGAGTATAGGACCATAAAATGGGCAGCTATATTAAACTTTGTTGTTGTTCTTGCTGCCATTGTCGTTAAGAGCGGCTGGATATTACAGAATGGTTATAATATGAGGCGGATCTACCTACTGTATTCTTGCATTTGTGTTGCCAGCTTTTCTTTTCTACTATGAGATTATAGTAAAACTGCATACTTTTTCATTTATTTTCTTAGTATAAAGACAAAAATAATATCCCTTATTACTCTGAGGCAAAAAGAACGCAAGCTTGTTAACGCAAGCTTTTTCGTGCAAGGTCTTTCTAAAATGCAGTATAGCTAGAGCTGTATTAACCTAAAAAATATCACCTATAAAATATCTTGTAGAGTCTAAAAATTCCGCCTAAAATTCTATTATCAAAATTTCCTTTTGTGTGGACCCCTTCTCTTTCTGCGTACCCGCCTGAATCAGTACTTATTCAGTAGCTATTTTACAACTAAAATTATACTTCATATGCAGGTTCAGAGTTGTTTCGTACAACTTGCTGGCTGACGTTTACGCGCGCACAGAGTTTTCCAAGACTGTCCTATTCAATTATTGTCCGAGAGATGCATTAGATTTCGAATTTCGGAAACACCTTCTCATAAAAGAAATACTTGGTAAGTGGTTAAATAGTTATAATTAACCGAAAAACACATTTCCACATTAGTATTTAGATACTTATGATGACCGTGGGTTGCGTTAAGTCTTAAAGGAAGTCTAAAGACTGTCATCAGGCGCTTCAAAGTAACAGCAAGCTTTACTTGCATGTTAATGATAAACGTACCTAATTTATCCCTTGTATAAATTTTCACGTATTTTTACTTTTGCAAGTCCCTCGATTTTCTTGAAATTTCTTTGATTCTCATCTTCCAGAAGTACGGTTATGCATTGGTGGATGCGACTGCACTATACAGTAAATATGGAGACCCTAGAAAAACAACGTGTGTTACGTAGTTTAGTTGGAAAAGGTAGTGATATGTATAATATTGACAAAGGCTCTAAGGTTTTTGCAAAACACATAAAATGCACAAAAGAAAAACGAAATTCATTGCTGCTTCAATAGAAGTTTTTTTTAGAATAATTTAACAACTGTACATTTGGTATCATATTTTAACACCTACATGGAATTATCAGTGAAATTAAAAGCGGGAATAATTTAAAGACTGTCTGCGCGAATGCTTGCTTAAAAAGTATAGCTACTTGCAAAATTTATGCTAGGTTTTCCTAAATCGCTCTCAAACTAAGGTCATTGAAAGCTGAACACATTCATCGTGATAAGATTCTAATCGATACGAAAAGTATTTTAACTAAAACGTTTATTTAAAAAAAATATTGTTATGTTTTTGTGTACTGCCAGCAGCATAGAATGAAAAATATTATTACATAAACGAATCCTTTTATAAGACAAGCCTTTACTTTGGTTATTTGCAGGGTACAACGGGGATGTGTTGTGTTTACAAGAGGTGGATCGAGGCATGTTCAAACACGAGTTACAGCCCTGTCTTAGTCTGCAGGGATTTGACGGGATTTATTGCGAAAAAGGAGCTGAAGGCGCTGAAGGTAAGGTTGCGCAAGCAGTTAACACGGTATTAAAGATAATTTTCTATTTGTTCTTATTTCTCGACGGAAAACACTTAATTTGACTTCGAACGATATTAAGTTAGATTCGCTGCCTTTACTATTTTTATAACCACTGGTTCTATTAGCTTTTCGAACTCACGGTCGAATGATGGAAACCGTCGTACACAAGAATAAAAGAAGGAGGTGACCTTACTAAATAGTTGGCACTAACACAATAAAATTCCCTCATACAGTTAAATCCGAAACTTTGTTCGAAGCTTAGAAATTAAAAACTCAAATCATAAGTAAACGTAATCTAATATTTTTCTCTTGCTCTACTTTTTTTTTATATTTTATCCAGGTTGTGCGGTTTTCTATCGGAAATCCAAGTTTTCCTTAACAGAATCTAACCGAGACGTTTTGTCGGAAAAAATCGAAGAAAAAGAGTGTCTGGCTGATATACGCTGCGTAGTTGAGAAGAACCTAAAGCTCAAGGATCGTTTAAGAAACAGGAGTACGGTCCTTCAGGTACGAATTACTTAAAGTCAAAATTTCTACCATATTATTACATTTTAGTGAATAGCCCTTGTGTGTTATTATTAAATAAATTATCGCACTTTATTATTATTATTATTATTATAAAAGAGTCTACCCTTTCATAACCTGACCTGATTAGGGATTATATACAATTTGTTGTCACACAATGTTTAGGTATTTCACCCCCAAACAACTAAAAGAGAGGTCTACCGCAGTAGGAATGATTGTTATCTTGAATAGTTGACATCTTTGGGCCGTTGGGTTCTCTTACAGATGTTTAGTTCGTAAGACATTCATGAGTTCGGTGCAGATTGTTTCAAAAACTTGTCTTTTTGATAATATCTAAAGTAGTGCAATATATGCATAAATATTTAATGTAAAATTTCTCGTTTTGCAAAGGCGATACATTGGCACAAAAATTGATATTGTGTAAAAGTTAATATTTCGCTGAGATTTTAGTAACAACTGTAATGACAATGAAAATTTCCGTCACGCCGTTTGAAGTTATGTTGATATAAAAAAAATATAAGTTGACAAATAACTGTTAAGTAAAATAAGTTTATGTAAGATAGTTACAATCAAAGTAACAGTGCCGATAATATATGCTATGAAACTAGAAGCGGTTTTTTTCTTTTAGAGGATACCTATACGTAATTATATACTAGTGGGTCGTGAGCAATAAAGGTACATATTTTTTTTTCTTAAACTAAATCATTTAAAGTTCACCATCTTTAAAATCATCGAGAATCACTAAGTTCTATAGAACTTTAAAAATTGATATCTTCCTGTCACACATTCGCGACACTTGTCCCCTTACCCCGGTTATTGCTAGGGTATTTATGAAACTCAGGATTTTTTATGGCATCCACAAACATAGAGTTCATTCAAAGTGTTGGTAGACTTTCCTTATAGGTCTAACCCTCACTTCCGACTCACAAATATTAACCTTATTGATAATTTCGCAAGTTAAAACCGCGTCAGCTTGCTCATGCTTTGATCGAACAGTCGTCGTCTTGTGCGCGATTACGTCTCATGGATTCACATATTGTTATTGATTTTTTATACCTATGTTTTCTTTATACATATACGTAAACTATTCTAGTCCTTTAAAGAGTTCCACATAAAATCAGTAGGGATAGTTTTGTATCTCGCCTAATGACGACTGCTCGTCAAGACGCCTTAAGAGAATTATGAACCATTTTTAGGATTAAACGGCTCATAGTTTTCCACCCATTAAAGTACACTTTTAAGTACATGCAACTGATTTTCATGAATAGGTGGGTTAGTCAGCATTTTTACTAAATTAAATATTTCAATGGCAAATGGTTTTAGAAAATAATGGATTGTCTTCTAACGCTTCTTAAACCTCCTTGACGAGTTAGGAACAAATGTTTGAATAAGACAAACGCAACATTAAGTTGTGACAACGCAGTTACGCACGGATTGATAATAAAGCCTTCATTCTTCAAAATACATATGACTTGCCTAAATTTATCATGGGTCTTAATAGAGTGCACAATCTACTATTTATATTTGCGCACTAGCTGCAATTAATACTAGAAAAAGTCGAATACATTCACATATCATATTTTGGTTCTGAGTGTTTCATTATAACATAATCGGTTCATTTCAGCGTGTATTGCTTCGCCATGTGGAGAGCAAACGTGAAATTTTGGTCTGCAACACGCACTTGTATTTTCATCCTGATGCAGACCACATTCGGCTTCTACAAGCATACATAAGTGTACGGCTTGCGGAAGAACAACTTCGGAAAGTAGATGAAAAGGTGTATTGTATCCCACGTATATTTTTATTAAATATATATA